CCAGAGCTTTGCACAATAGTTTCTATAATTTTATTTCTATATCCCAGCCAAGGTCTCGGGTTCTTATTTCTGGAAAATAAAATTTTGTTGCATATTTTGTGGCGTCAAATGGCAGCCACAAAAATGAATGAAATCGTAAAATTCTGACCCCGCCGGACCGCATCCACGCCCAGCGAGCTAATAACGTACACTCGAAAACCGGAAACGCCGCAGACCAATGCCGCACAAAAGCTGACCCGTCTTCCAAACCCCTGTTGACCCCTTGCCCCAGCAGATTTCCCTTACTATTTATACAGAGAAAAAAATTGGGTCAAAAACTTCAATTGTTTTATTACATGCAACGGCAATGTATTGTTATATATATATATTGTTATTCCAACAATATAACTATTATTTTTAATTAATACAAAGCAAGCTTACCAAATCAATATGTGTATATAAAGTGTTTAAATAGGAATTCTACTGCACTATTTTTAAGTACCATGATAGTAACCTTAAGTTTCTGGAGCATTTTATTGAAATCTCTTAAAATTACAAGACTAGAATTTTTGTATCCGATATTTTCTGGTGCATTCGTATATAAGCTTTCACATGACTGTGTATTCCGGGATTGTGTGCATTGGCATTTAAGTGCCGAAACAAATTTTGGAAAAAAAGGGGGAAGAGTTCGCAGAGAGAACGTCTAACATAACCTCAATTTGTATGCGTTCTTTCTGCCATTTGAAACTTGTTTGTTTGTCTGTTTGCCTTTGTCTAAGGGAGTGTCTATCGCCGTCCCTTTCGAATGGGGATTGCAATTGCATTGCCACCTCCTTCACTCCTTCCCTTCGTTCCTCCAACGTCTGTCCTTGTCCCGCATCAGCGCTGTGTAAATATTTGATTTTTGCATTAAAGTCAATTTGCTTTCATGATTCCGTAATTCATTGTTTACTCACGCCAACTTCTATTACGCCTTCTGCCGCCCGCTTTGATTGTTTATTTTTATATCCCCGGGCCCCGCAGACTTTGGATTTGGGTTTGGGTTTGGGAATCCCGGATACCCGGAATCCCGCATTTCCGCTGCACTTCCACTTCCACTGCCACTGCCACTTCCATTTCTACATCCACATCCAGTTCCCTATAATATCCACAGACACCAACACGAGACCGGGCTCGGCGATATCCGCATCATCTTTGTTTGTTGCTCGCAGCAAGGTTTTCCTCCGCCTTTTGCCTGCTCTCCCCATCCATCCATCCAGCCCCTTTTCCCCCCGGAAAATCCCCAGCCACAATCACAATCCTCCGCCAGACTCATCCCGCCTGTTTTAATATGCGCACTCAACGTTAGAAATTAAATCTGGCTCTCAAATGTTATTTGCGCTTTTCGTTTATTTATTTATTTATTATTTGCTTACGCGGCTGGCAGTTCTGTTAGCCGACTGCCGCTCTTTGGTCCTTCGTCCTGGCCCAGTTTTCATTAGGTAATGCATAATAAGCTCGAGAACTTGCGCCAGTGAATTTAATTTATATTATTCTCCCTGTGTGCAGATTTTTCGGGCCTGGTCCCGGGCAAAAGCAATTATAAAACTGAATATGAATGGCAATGTTGGGACTCCGGTTTCAATTGTTGGAAAGTCGGAAGTGGGATTAAGATGGGTGGATAAGGATTGTCCTTTGCAGATTTCGAAGTAGTGGAAGATGAAAATTAGTAGATTCGAACAATTGAATTTCTAAATTTCTAAAAATTTTTTAACATAGTGCTTAAGTAATACTACAAATTCCTCCCAGAGGAAATAAACCACAACAGGTTGTAACCGTATATAGTGAGATAATCATTTTGATTCTACGACCCACTTACCATCAACGGTTTTATGTTTATGCTGCTTCACTACCGGATTTACCACGAACCACAATGAGAATGCTGCGGAGCCAAATCAATACGTCGCACCATCAATATCCTTCAGCCATCCGGGATCCTTCGCCAGCCATCAGCCATCGATTGCCATTATTATAAGAGGCGCGTCGCGTGCAATTTTAACGAGCTTACGCATTTTATCGCCAGAAGAAGCTGGAGCAGTGGCAAAATAAACCCGGAGACCCTGTCATCGCCTCATCATCAAGCGCAGGATGTGGCTGCAGTAAAAAGAATCTAATTTAGTGCGCGGTTTGCATACAAATTTCGATCCAATACCGCAGCGAATCCTGCGTGACAATGAGGCAATAAGTGTGTGTGTGTGACTTTATATGGGGGTGTTAATTCGCAATTGGTGTCACGATATACATTGATTCGCCATTTGGCTTATGCATTTTTCATTAATTGTCCTGTCCCATCTTGTCGCAGTAAATTGCCGAGGATCTACCGTCGCCCGCGAAAGCAATTTAATCAAAAATTCTAATTCGTATCCGAAGTTGGGCACAAGTTTTTAATGACTTTTCCAACTAAGGCCGAAGTTTTAGACGCGCTACAACTGCAATTACTGCAATCGATGCCAGAGTTCCTGTACGAAAGTTCAGGTGTTGCTCCGCAGGACTTTCCAGGACTTAGACACAACAGCAAACAAAACAAGGTTGAGCGAAAACCGCTAATCGCGTTACACAAAACTTCGCCTCCAAAGGCAATCGAGTGCGAAATTCCACATACGCCCCGTGTGACGTGGCGATAGCGAAGGCATTCAAGTCATTTCCGCTTAAGCAATCAGTTCGAGGCAGCAGTCGTCATCCTTTCCTCCTGCTCCCCTTCCCTCCTCTCCTATCCACTCTGCTGAAACTGAAATCCCCTCCAGGTGGGCCACCACTTGACATGACAGCCGCGTGCCGTTGTCGCTCTGCATTTGAATGTCTGAATGCCGCAAAACGCTGCTCGGCAAACCGACATAAATACAAACAAACATGGCTGCCTGGCGGCCACTTTCTCCCATCTTCTGGCCATAATAAATTGCAGGGCTCAAACAGTGCACTCTGATCTGGGAACAACTTTAGATTGCTTTATGGAAATATTTCTGTAGCAAATGCCCTTTTGCGAAAATTATTATATATTTCAAAAACTGTTTTATTAAGTCTTCGCAAGTCAAATTCTTGTGTATTCTGTTGAGAAATATCAATAAATATTTTTACTACATTAATTTTAAACAGGAACAATAAAATATATTGTTTTTAAATATTAAAGTAATCTAATATAATCTTTGTGTAACATGGCGTATTTCATCTGTCATACCTTTCTAAATTCAATTTTGGTATTAGTATCAACAAGTTTTGGTGACTTTTAAAAGCTTACCATGATACTTCCTCCTTTATTATACTGCCTAAATAATTCTAAATAATACATTATAATGCCCAGCATTTGTTTCTAATACTATTTGATATTCGCAGGTATTTTTCGCTAGACCGGAAACAGGAAGCCGGAAATTCAAAACTTCCCGGGCAAATCAAACGATTGGCCAATGCCGGGAGTCTCCTGCTTTGTTATTTGTTGTTGCTATGCAGCTGATGGCTTTTTGTTGCTCCTGCCAGACACTGCGGACAGTTTGAGTTGCATTGTGCAAAAGTTTAATTACAATTTGTACTTTTTTTGCGCGCACTTTCAGGAAAAAGCGAAGAAAACTTTTTATTGATATTGCCAGCGAGTGCACGATGCCCCGCCGACCTCCGGCTCAATGTCAAGTGTCATGTTATCCCGGACTTATTCATGTCTGCCATCACAAAGGGGGCAAACTCAGCCGGAAAGGGGCTGAAATTACTTGCAAATTGATTACTGACACAGCCTGCCCCGACTTTGAGTCGCTTTTACTGCTTAATAGTCGATGTCACATTATCGGCGTCGCGACCGAGTATACGATATACTCGTAATGGCCAAATGGATGTACTCACAAAAAAAGGTACTTCATCCTTTCAACGAGAGTCGATTGACAAAATAGCAAGGATGTACAAAAAAATAAATCAAGTTCAATATGAGTTTGAAGGAAGTGTTTGGAATTAGGTGTTAGTAAGTATGTTGATTTATAGTAAGATAAGAAGTAAGAATTGATAAAGATGTGTTTTTTCTGAATATGTGGAGGGTAATAGATGAAATGTATATTATTATTTATCCACATCTAGAGACTTTCAATAAATAATAACCAACGATTATAAAACCTCCTTGCAATCCATTTAAACCACCCTCGCTGTGCTGAATCAATAAAGCCCTCGAGACAGCCTTGGCAGGCATCGGCCAGAAATTGTCATAAATTCATTTTTATATGCGAATCGAATTGGCAGGCACGGAAAGCAGAAAGTAAAAAGTAAAAAGGCGGCCCACAAAAGCCACCGATCCACCCGATGGAGATGGAAAGTGGCAAAGTGCGGACTGTGGACTGCGGACTGCGATTCCGTGCGATGCACTCGCCGCGTATGGAAATGAAAATTTTATTAGGCATATGCAAATGTGTCAACTTTATGTGCAATATTTCGACACATTTCGACACTTGTTGCCGTAATGAACTCCGTTGCATATTTCAGCAAATGTCGAGAGCACAACTGTTGCACGAATGTTGGTGGGAAATTCGCGGGCTTCATAATGCGCACAGCCAATTGAATTAAACTAAATGACAGCCGGTGCATATATGCACTTTAAAGCCAAGAACTGAATGAGATTGTCTGGGTTGGGTGTGCATAAATTGCTGCTATTGTTTAAATATTTGCCAACATAATTAACTTAATTCAATTGGATTTCCATTAGAGCCGCACGCACAACTCGAGCGAAGGAGCGGAGAGACTGCCTCGATGTTTGCCCAACCAAGGTATCCCCCATGCCAGTCAAGGATTTGGATATCCTGTGCTGCTGATTCAAAGGATTGGCCCTGCATAACATATGAGCTGGAAGCCGAGATGCGCTGCGCCCCTTTGACTTTGTCTACGACTCTTCGATGACGTCCTCTATTGACTTTCGGAATCGAATCGAATCGAGTTGCTTCGAAGGCAGCAGCAAATCACACAATAAAATAATTGATTCCATTTGAAATGCACACACAAAGTGGAGACTCGACAGTATGCGGGTCGTATCGCAACAGACAGAGGACTGCATTGGCCGTCTAGTGCTGAGTACAACTTTATTTTCATTGTTTGCAGATTTAACATTTAACGCAACACAAACACGGAGCAGCAGAGTCAGCTCAACTTTGGCTTATAGTTCGGATCTCTCTGAATCATTTATGCGCTCCGCAGGAGTCCTTCGATTAGGCCTCCTTGTTGACCGCCTTCAGCAGCTCCTTGCGGGTCTTGCGGCGCATCCTCAAGTTCGAGATGAGGCGCACCGTGCAGAAGTAGCCCAGCTCCACGATACTCAGCATGGACACGCCCATGAAGAGGCCCAGCAAACCGCCACAGTTGGCAAGAAAGTCGGTGGTGCCATAAAGTTCCGACCGCCGGGATGTGAGGAACTGCGCCTCCTTGAAGAAGATCGACACGCGGGACATCTTCATTCTGTGGAACACCGAAATAGATTCACAAATATTATAAAAAATTAAAAAAAGTACTCAAAGAAAACCATAAAATATTTATTGCTAAAATTGTAAATTTTTAAAAACAAAAGAATATAGAGATAATTATATATTGTTTCTGACCAACTTACCCTTGTCTCTTGGCGCTCTCCTCTTTTCCCTCCGCCGTATCTGTATTTACAACTGTCTTGTAATCAAAGTCAGCCTGGGAGATTTCAGCCTCATAAGCAATGGAGGTGCAAGATGGCAGACAATTGCACTCCGTTTCTCCCCGTGTATTTTCCCCCGAGTTGATATTCCCCTGATTGAATTCCCTAAGCAGCAGTTCATCCTCCGCTTGGTTATAGCAATTCAAGCTGGCATCGCCGCAAACAGGCATATTTACATTACCTAAAAAGAAACTTTAATTATCTAATTACCTTTGGACAAAATAAGAAACAACTTACGTGGCATTGAAAACTTTACACAGCCGCATTTTGTTAAAGTGAAATTAGCCAGGCACTCCAGTTCGCAATTACTTTGGGAGTAGATGTTAAAGTAACGCAGTTCTCTTTCTTTCTGGAAATAACACTGCCGACGATTGGGTTCGTAGTGCTTTAGGCCATCCGAAGTGGTAATGATTTTGGGACGAATGGAAATGAGTACTTCTTGATCGTAGGGTATGCGGAAGTATTGCTTGGACACTTGGGCCACATCTCCAGGAGTATGTAATAAAATCTACAAGGGATATTTTTTAAATAACACCTTAAAATATAGAAGTTAGTAAAAATATTACCTTAAAACCCTGAACTGGACCACGGCACAAGTCATCGAAATCCATTTCAACTCCACCCATAAAGAGATACAGACCAGCTCGAGCTCCCGGACCCAAAACTCTATTGGGATAAGGTGAAGTGTCCGCACTAGCGCTATAACCATCCTCCACATTCCAATCCATGGACAGACGATTCTCCTCGCGGAATATAAAGTCGGGAATAATGCTGCCACAGAAGTGTTAAATCAGAAAGATATTTCCTTATCATCCAAAACCCATTCTTACCCTTCAGCTTTGAAGATCTCCGCAGGACTCAGCGAATTGAAACTGTAGCAAACTCCATCCTCGGTCACAAATTTGTGGAATATATCACTGCATTTGACAGGCGAGTTCCGCCACTTGCAGTTGAGATAGGTGTCATCGAAAAGCGGAGATACTTCGGTGAGTGCATCTATTATTTCCATGCCCCTCCTGGTCTTTTTTCCCAAAATTACATCGTGCAAGTGGGGCTCGCAAACCTGCGCCACTGCGCCATATAAACCTTTTCTATTTGAAAAGTACTCATGAGAAATTCTTTAAGCTGGATACTCAACTTACGTCTTTTCGGTCAAATCCGGTATGCCAGTGATATTGCTCCTAAAATCCCGCAGTTGATGATTCGAGCCCGTGAAGTTAAATATCGCCCGGCGGGTTTTCGTCTCCGGACAAACAGTGACGGCGGGAAAGGGAATCTCCCACACGGGAGTGGACTTCTCGGCGAAGCTGACAATCACCGGATTGTTGTTCCACTTGTCCCAGATGTTGAGGGTCAACTTGACGCAGGTAAAAACCGATAGGACGAGCACACAGATCCAGAAGAGCCGCTCCAGCCAGGGCCGCTTCTTCTCCCCCAGATACCTGATGCCGTGGATGGTCGTATAGTCGCAGTACTCGTGGATGATGGCCTTGGCCGCCTGGAAGCCGCTGCCGTATTTGATCTGCTTTTTGGTGTCCACCTCGTCCTCGCTGTCATCGGATACGGTTTCCCGGAATGCCGGTGCCATCCGGGCCATCAGTGCGGCCCGTTTCCATTGATTCGCCGCCGAGGGAGGCGGACGCACCGCCACCTCGTGACTCGGCGTATGGGGTTGTGTACTTTCCGTCGACATCGTCGGTCCGGCGAGCTCGAGATCCGTTGACTAAGTCAGCGGTGCGCACGCAAGACTCCGGCCTTTATATAACCCATCCGGCGGGGTGCGGCTGCTCGGGGAGCTCGGCGGCTCCAGAGAATTGCGACACGCATTCCCGCATTCCCCCGCATTTCCCATTTTCCACGTATTTTTCGGCTTGAGCAGGTGGCGTTTTCGGTGGCGTTTCAATTACTTCATTTCGCTAAGCTCGCGTAATTTGCAAACTGGCTCTAGAGAAGAGTCTCTGGGGTTACCCACCCCACTACCTCCCACCAGGACCCACCTAATTGTCAACTCTGACCTAGTGGCCACTGCTAAATGTTACCTTTGAGCCTGCACTAGGCGAGGCATTCTAATTAGCCGGCGCGCACTTTAAGCTCGCCAAGCCCCGGGTCACCGCGTCCTCCACGAAACCGAGAAACCGGGAAGCCGGGAAAAGTGCGCCACCGCGACAGGTGCAGCCGGGGTTCCACTTCCATGGCCAAATTGAAAAAGGCAACTTTCCGGCGCACCGGGCTTATGCATTTTAAATCCCGGCAACCACTCGACGACCAGCACTCGACTGCAGGCGCTTAACTCGTAGACTCGACCTCGAAACAAAATGGCAAACGGCCGCAGACGCCGACAATGTCGAGTCAAATCCTCAGGTTAAACAAGGCTCCACAACGGATATCCCGAAAAGAATTTATAAATCGAATAGGATACACTCTTATGAAACAAAAATTATATTGTTGCGAGAAATTTGTAAAATTGAGTAAGCAGATACCAATAATAAAACATGGTTAAACAAAATTTAACATATTTTAAATTATAAATTGAGGATTGTACTAGTTCAACCATTCTAAAAACTAAATTAATAAGTATTCAGAAACAACTGTTCTCTTCATTTATTTACAATGAAGATTTATTTATTTCATTTCCTAAAAATGTTATAATTAATCCCAGAAACAAATGCTTTAAGCTCTTTAACAAAGCCAACATACCCTCTAATTAGAGTAAGTAAAAAACTCAATGACCAGCGGCAAGGACACAACAAAAATGGAACTCCGACAGGCAACACCGCACAACAGGATGCGACCATTTTGGCTGCGCATTTTAATAAAGTGAACTGCATTCGGGGCATTGTGTCTAAATTTTTCGGAGGTCCTGGTGAACGCGGCCAAAAAGGAAAAGCGGGCAAGTGGCGCACCTTAACTCACCCTTTGTTGGCAACTTTTCATTATTGTGACGTCGTGCCTTCAACAATGTTGGCATTGTCCTTGCACTTGCTGTTACCTGTTTTCTGTTCCCTTTGCCAGCCGTCAACATTTACACACTTCTCTGTCTGGAAAAGTCTGGCGATCTTCATTTATTTTAATGAGCTGCGAAATAGAATTTCTGATGCGTCGCCAAAAATTAAGTTGGGAAAAGTCCCGCCATTAAAGAGAAGTAGCTCCCAAGTAAGAAAACCAGTAAGACTCAATTGAATATATATCTATATATATATTTGGTATTCTCGTTTGCATAATACATTTCACTTTTTATTTGGTTTATATGCTTTAGCTGGAGGACATTGAATTGAATGTTGTTACTGTTTACAAATTGTTTGCTTGGTAAGTACATAATACGTTGATTATCCTATTTACATAGCCGCTACTTTTGATATAGTTATTACAGAATATAGTCGATAGTAATGTTACGCATATTTGATTACGATCCTAGATAATGTATAGCAAGTTTCTCCGAATTTGTTTTTGAAACACCTGTTGTCACTATGCTACTTTTGATATACAATTTGCGTGGGTTAATTTGGTTCCAACTACGATTTCGTTATACCTTAAATGATATCCAAAAAATATTAACATCGGTTAAAGCCGCCGCCAGACTTTGTTTGTCTGGGTATTAACAATGATCTTATAATTCCATAATTTGTATCCTCGTTGTGGGTATTAACTATATACAAAGCTCGATTACCGTTCAAAAAGCACCGCCGAAAGGCGATGACAGTTTAAGCTTTCCACAATTTTACCTATACGTTCACTTATGCAGTTCTGAAACCCAAATAAACACTCCCGTTTGAAACGCCAAACCCAAAGGACATGCAGACAACACAAACACAAAGCCGTTTACAATTACAATTACAATTACACATAAACGTACTGAGGGCTGTAATTGATATAGCAGTTCAGTATATATCTGCTCGTATGTCATACCTATGGCTAATTTAAAATGATATGTTTGCTGTAATTTACGTTATTCGTTCCACTTGTTTGTTTCCCGGCTTTTAAGCTTCCCTGCCAGGTTAGTCTGTTACAAAAATACTGAAGAAGTTGCACTTGTATCGGGTTACGACAGCGCAAGATACCACTTCGGAAAAGGCGGCTTCTGACCCTCCCATTGACCTCTGACCTATTGCGGTGCGAGGGCCATACTCAAGCTGCTCGACATCAGGCTCAAGGCGTTGGCAGTGGGCGCAGCGGTTGGCCCAGAAGTTTCCTAGAAAATAAACAAATATATTCATAAATAATCATTTATAAATATTAAGTGTTTATTTGTAAACTACTAGCAGAGAAACACTGAATTTTCATAATTAAAATGTCTACGTACAAATATAAAATCAAAACTTAAACTTTAACAAAAAGCTTTGTTCATTGAAATCAAACTCATTAAGTATTAATTAAATCTAGATTAACAACTGTTCTTTCTGCATAATTGCCTTAATTGATTTGAAATTTCCTTCATTCTGAATATTTTGTTTAATCAATTTACCAAGACTTATTCATACTCACAATGCTCAGGGTTCGGACAATGCAGGCCCTGGTGGCCGGCGGCTCATCCGCCTCCAATCCGGGGGAGCTGCCCCGCGAGGAGACGGAGCCGTTGAGCAGCTTGACATTCAGCTCATCCGAGTGATGGGTCTGCTGCGAACTGCTCGAGAGTCGTCCGTCCAGGGAGAGATCGTCCCTGTGCTGATCCTGCAATAGAATCATTAGGGAATCTCTGCCGGGCGAGGGGATGGGCATCGAACCCACCTCCTTGGGACTCCCGCTGGGGCTGAATTTGATGTCCAGGCAATTGGAGTCCATGTCGCTGGCATTCCCATTCTCAGCCGATCCCGATGCCATTATGATTCCCGTTCCCGAGGGCGACAATGGCGAGTGGCCATTGTTGTTGTTGCTGGCCTCAGTGTTGTTGTTGTTGTTGTTACTAATTTTGTTATTGTTATTGTGCTCCTTGTTAAGCACTGATGATGCTGGCATCTGCTGCTGCTGCTCCTGCTGCTGCTTTGTGGCCAGCTCATCGGGGGAAATCGCCGAGTGTCCATTCTCCACGGCCGCCGTTGCAGTTGCAACATTGTTGGCGCCGCCGGTGCTGTTGGCCTCATCATCGCCCAGCTCGTAAATGTTAACCATGTGCGCGGCCTGTGCGTGGACCATCAAATCCCAAGGATTGGCGAACGCATCCTTGCAAACGGCGCACAGCAATTTGGCGCTCGTCGGTGGAGTCTCTGCAATTTCAAAAGGGGCAAAACGGGGGAAAGACATGCGAGAATTAATTAGTTATTTAAGTTGGAATTTGCAGGGGCGCCGACTGCGGAGGCTCTGCTGGCGCATAAATAACTCAATTTTAAATGCATTTGCAAGCAGCCGCAGGACATGAATCCACAGACATCCTGCTGAATGGCCGGCAGATGTTGCTGACTGGCAAACAGAGGCCTCCGCCTCCGCCTCCGACTCAGAATGAGCCTTAGACAAACACACACACATTTCGGACGGAGCCGGGGCAAAAAGTGTTTAACAATCATAAATTAATTGCCAACAGACAAGCTGCCGCTGCCGCTGCCACGCCCCCCAAAAGAGGAGCAACGCCCACTTACTTGCACTCGCCGCAAAGGCAACATCCTGGCACTTGCATGTGAACCTCAGCTTGCAATAACTTTTCTTGTGGTCCAATAACTCAGACAGCTCGCCGAAGGACTCCCGGCAATTGCCGCAGATTAATGTGTCCGGATTGCCTGCGAATATGCAAAAGGATATGGGTCTTAAAAACGTGTTGCAACCAAGTGAAAAACTGTGGAGAAAACCAGACACTAGAACCCTATTCGAAATAAAATAAAAGCTAAGGTTTGCTTTATCTCTAAATATTTTTAAGTGTTTATTCAAGGAAAAAAAATTGATAAATCCACGTTCCCCTAAATTTTTTAAGGTTCTTCAAAAATATATTTATTTTCAACTCAGTTAAATGGTTCAATTAAATGCGATCGTATGCTAATGGGCCAGATCTTAAGCTCAGCCTGAAGTAGTTGATTTTTGTCCAGGACTCGATCCTTTTTTCGTTTCACTCGACTCTCCAAATGCAATTGTTGGTCCTTCAACGCGGAAAAGGGTTTAGGATACGGAGCAGCTTCCATGGCACTTTTTCTCCGATATCTCAGCAAGTTGGTTATGGCATTTATACGCAAATCAGGCTGAATCGCATGTCTATTGTTTCGGGGCTGTTGCTTCAACGACTTTGCCTCGTCGGAGTTTTCATTCTGAATATTCAGCGAAAAGCTAATCACATTGGGAACCTCAGCAATGATCTTCTTCGACGGCTTAGTGCAACAGGGCAACTTTTTGGTAGTGGATTTCGTAGGGCGAGTAGTTGCAGGAGGCTTTTGAGTGGTGGACTTGGTGGCCTTTGTTTTCGGGGCCTCGGAAGGCTTCGCCCGAGTCGTGGCTGTCGTCTCCTTGTTCTTCACATCCACGGTAACCGAATCTTCGGCCTTTGTGGTTTCGCTGCACTCAGTGGTGGTTTCTGTATCGCACAGCTCCTTTCCCTCCTGATCCTGAGCGCACTTAGCCGGCTGGTCCACCTGTTGTTGGATTTGCTGCCGCTGGCCAAAAAAATCGGACAACTGTTGCAGCAACTCCAGTTGTTCGGCAGTTGGCGGCGCATCCTGCGACTCCTTTGTTTCCCCCACTCTCGGCAGGGGAACAAAGGGCGGCTGGAAGAGATGGGCGGCCGGGAACTCCTGACTGTATCGATTCAACTTGACCGTCGGCATCTGGGAGTGGAGAAGGGATCTGTGAGATGGCCTCAGATTCGCGACGGGCTCAACCTGAATCTCCTGTTGCCGACTTTGTGGCTGCTGTTGCACCTCCAATTGCGGCGTGTACCTCATGCCCGATTTGATGCCCGAGTTGGCCGCCTGCTGATTAGAACCCTGCGCCGTAGAGTGCTTGTTGGCCAGCAGACTGCCCTTCAAACTAAGGACTCCCTTCACGTAATCCGGCGGCAGGCGCTGCTGTGACTTCGCCTTCAAAAGAGGCAAGGACATCGCCTGCTCCTGATCCCCGACGACACTGGATATGGTTGCAATCACTGAGATAATGGTGATGAGAGCTGGTCCACGTCCTTCACATCGACACATTTCTCATTTTCGGAGAAGCTGTCGTCAGGCGACAACATTTTTGACACGTTAACGCAGGAAAACTAGAAACGCCTTAGTATTAAATAGTTTACGAAGTACTAAATAATTCTTATTATTTTACCATATTCTAAAAAAAATGATTTCAATCTACAAAACTATTTAAATAACATTAAACGGAATTATCCATTGCTCAAAATATACAAATATTCCCCAAAATAAACTTCGGTAAGAAATTTTATTGTTTCATTTTTCTCTTAGTTACCTCCTAATAGCTCACTCCTACTCTTTTTGGAAACTCCCAAGATGATACCACAGGCAATCATTAAAATATACTTCTCCTGCTTTATCCCCAATTTTTCAGCTTCCCTTTGGGCAAACCCAATACTCACTGTAGACTTTGAATGGTCCCCATTGCTGATGCAAACTTAATTGCTCCTGAGCATGTTGCTGCTGTTGCTGTTGCTGCTGCTGCTGCTGTTGTTGCTGCTGCTGTTGCTGTTGCTGCTGTTGATGTTGCTGCATCAATTGGCTGTGCAATTGTAGTGGCGTCGCCGCCTGATGGGGCTGCGGTTGCTGTGGGGACAATGCCAGAGTCAACGGTTGCAGCAACGGTTGCTGATGTTGCTGCTGCTGTTGCTGATGTTGCTGCTGCTGCTGCTGATGGGAGGAGGCAAAGGAGGCGGCTCCAACCGGATACGGCTCGCCGAGCCCCGTTTGATTAGCAATTATCGCTGACTTTGCATTTTGCGGCGATGTCGTCGCCTGGACAGCCACGCTGCTCTTCAGCTGGAATCCGAACGGTTGCTGGTGGTGCGGGTGGTGCGGATGCGGGTGGTGCTGCTGCTGCTCCTGTTTGTACTGCGACCAGTGGAGGGCGCCCGGAGTGGCCGTCGCCGTGCCCGCCACCGCCGCCGCATTCGAGAGCAGACTCTGCTGATGCAGCAGCAACTGTTGTTGCGGCAGGAAATTGGCCATCGCCGCCATGGCGACGGCAGCAACCTGTTGCTGGTGGTGCTGCTGCTGCTGCTGCTGGTGATGCTGCTGCTGCTGCTGTTGCACGTTCTGCAGCAGTTGCAGCTGCTGTTGCTGCTGCGGCTGCAATCCATGCTGCTGCTGCTGTTGCTGTTGCTGCTGCACGGCCACCGCCAATCCGCTGCCGTTGGTCATCAGGCGCTTCCGCTTCTTGGCCCGCACTCCATTCGAACCACCCCCGCCCACTCCGCCGCCCCCTCGCAACAGCGCCGAGGAGCAGTAGCTGTCGTAGAAGTAGTCCCTGCGAAGAGATCAAATTTGTTATTTATTTTATTTATATTTTACGAACCAAATTAACATTTTTTTGATAAAATAAGTTTCTTGAATAGAGCAGAAATATAGATTAATTCAATTTGACTTATTTTGTTTGTTATGAACTCTAATGCATAATTTGTATGACCATCTTTAACGTGTTAAAGATACGTTTAATAGATATTAAGTGTGGGTTATCCGCTCAACAAACATTTGTCCGCTAATTGAAGTGTCATTTGCGGTCAACACCAAAAAGAAAGCTGCTGAGAAACCAACAAAAAAATTATAAGCTGTTCTTAAGTCCCAAAAACGAATAGTATATACCCTGGACAACTAGAGATACATTTTTAGTAAGCTGTAATAAACATTTTTTAATAAAATAATGATTAATTCGAGTCTTATAAATGTATCTTTTATTTATACAAAACTAAAAAGATCTATTAGTAGTGCTACTTTGGGTCTCCGCTGGAAATTCATGGAAATCTTTGAAAAATCTGACATGCACAGGAGTCAAAAAAAAATTGACCTTCACATAATCCAAAAAATTTAAACGCAGTTCGTTCAGGAATTCCATCACAAATCTTTAAAGGTATGCCACTTTAAGATCAGATAAAAATTGTACGAGTTGTGACTTCTGGAAATTCTGACTTGGGTCTCCTATTGCAATTTACTGGAAACCCAGAAAAATCTGGCATAAACAGGGATAAAAAAATTGACCATCTCCGATTTAAAAAATGTAAAAGCAGTTCGTTCGGGAATACCTTCACAAATTTTAAGAGATACCTATGCCACTTTGAGATCGGACAAAAATTGTCGTAGTTAACGAAAGGGTCAAAATTGATAATATGGCAAATTAAACAAATGTATTATTTTTTTATTAAGCTGTGGTACTGCAAGTTATTAATATTTAGCGTTAGAAAAACAGGAAAGTTACTTTTTCGACCACCTGACCGAGTTCACCCGCAAATATTGATACCCTCTCATTAACTGCAAATGAACAGCCTGCCAACTGTTGCCCGACCTCACTGTCAGTCAGTCAGTCAGTCACTCAGTTACCCAACCCCCGAGTTCGTCAATATTTGTTTAGGCTGCCATTGCCGCCGCTTGAATTGTCATTTGGCAATTGTGTTTGTGTGTTGGCCCGCCCGTCGGGTTATGTTGCCAGTGATTGATACAAATGCCGAAACAGGACGAAGGCTCCCCTCCTGGCAAAGCCAACCAATTGTGGTCAGATAAGTGGGGGTGGCTCATATCCGAGTGTATCGGCATATCCTGGCAAGGAGGCGGAGTGCAACAATTGCGGCTTTTTCGGTCAGTTTGTGTGCGGTCGACGGAGGGCGGGAAAAAGGTGAGCAGCCGTTTAATGACAAACACGAGAGCACCTGGCCATACGAGTATGTAGTTTCATAGTGGGGGGCTGACATGTTTGCGTTTTAATTACAATCAAGTCGATGTCAGTTGGCATTCCCCCTGGTCGATGTACCTTTTAAAGCCAACGAAACGCACTTCGTTTCGGCGTCATTAAGCTTAAATTAAATATTTCCACACGAGTTGCTGGAGGTCTGGAGTTCTGGAGTTCTGGAGGTCTGGAGCTCAAGGCCCAAATAAATTGTGAATGTCGCTCAGTCATCATTAAGGCCGCGCGACGACAAAGACAAACAAGTGCACATGTCAGCGGCAGGACATTATGGCATACATTGCAACTGTCACTCACAGGATCCACAGGGTACTTCCCTATATTGTGTGTCCTCCTGTGTGTGTGAGTTGACGCAGCACTCGAACAACGGCTGACCCTCTCTTTCCGAGGGAAAGCAAAGTGAAATGGAGACGAAAACTTGGCCGAAAGTATTCCGGCTGGGTCCAAAAAACCCGGCTAGCCGTTGACAGCCAAATATTTTATGCCGGATTGCCGTTGAAACAATGGGCGACCCCATCGCCTGATGAATGGTTTCTTATTTATTTATTTATTTCCTGTGCGGACCCCGGAAAACCCCACAACAACAACAACAAAAAAGAAAGCCAACCGTTAAATGATATGTAAATAGAGTCTAAGCAAATGCCACATGGCGGCGTTAAATTGACCAAAGTTAACTTTTGATTAAATTGAAATGGGGCAAAAGTGAACTGGGATTCCAGATGGAGTCCTTCGTAATCCTGCGTAAGGCTCACCAATCGTTTCCGGTTTTGCTCACATTCTGGCGTTTCCTTCCGATCTGATGCGCTTTCGGTTCGGCCACCATGTTGACATCTGTAGAGAAAGAAAATTGGTAATGGAAAATTTTTAATGACAAAAGGCAATCTGTTTTATGCCCCCAAAAATGTGAATACACAAAAAATGTTTGCTCTTTGAAGTCATTGTCTAAACATTAAACAAAAAGCTGGGTTGGACAAAGGCGATTCTTTATTATTCTACTCTTTCATTATGCAAATGAATGGAGAAGATGTGAGTGATTAAAAATGTTTTTCTCTTTTCAATGTGCATGTCCATCGGCCAACTGCATTCCTCGGTTAATTCAATCTGGCTGCTCCCCAATCATTAATCTTAATAAAAGTATGCAAAAGCTGGAATAACCATTGTCAGTTCTTGTTTATGCATAAAAAGCGATGATGTAGAAGCTTAAGTTGCAGATAGTCGCAGCCAAAATGCTCTGAAGATTTAAATATACTACTTAAAAGTGATAAACTAACTCATCTTATCTTCGTTTAGTGTTAATTATCTACAAAACTTTATGCTTGTATTTTGTATTCGTTTATTTTCTTTTATTTGATTAGAGTGTACAAAAATCTTCACAAAGGCTAACCGCATTTGGTTTTCCAATGAAAAGGGTGCGACAGAGGCTGTTTTTCTTTTTTTGTATGCAAAGCTATTTTTAGGGAAAGGGAGGCCCACGCTCGTTCATCATAATTCATGACAAAGTTTGAAGTGCGACGGCTGCGCCACCGCTCCCTCAGAAAAAAAACAGAAGGGGAATTATTCAGAGCAACCAAGAGCTATCTACAAATTGGTGGGTTTGGTTTAAAAAAAAATACTACAAGAAAAGCGGGCGTGATGGCTTCGCCACTTTCTTTTTACAGCTGCTTTATTTCCTTCTTGGCTTTTCTGTTACTTGCGCTTTCCTTTTTCCTGCCTCGCTGTCCGACTCTTGGGCTGGCAGGCTATAATTAAGATTAAGGATAAAAGCGTAAGAAGGATTTGCACAAGTTCCAGCCAGCCGGGGAAAGCCCCCTCCTATTTTCCCCCAGTGTAAATCGCTTTAGTTGGCCTGGCCGCATTTCTCCGGGCTTCAAAGTCAATGGCGCGTAGCAATGAAATATTACGCCAGCCGGCCACTCCGTTGTTGGTTCTCTTTTTCCTAATCAGTGGAATTAGCATTCCATATTTAGCAAACTGCATTTGCATAAGCGGGAGTGCTTTTTATGAGAGCCGCGGAATTTCTCTTTCCGTTCGCCGGCGAACGGGGCGTATGAATATGAAGTATCCGCAGCGTTGCCGCCAGCAGCAGAAGCAGCGTCATCAGCCGACACAGAGCACTAAGTGCATTAACTTGTTCTCCACACGAGACACACGCACTGCAGAAGAATAAAAAAAATAAAGGCAAGTGAGACTTGCAGAACCGTCAACATGCCAGCTGCAACTGGCGTTGAATTATTTCATTAAACGCCGAACGACTAGACTGTCAGATAGTCGGGAGGGGGGGAAAAAAGGGCAGACACAGAAGACAGTCGACTGTCGACTGGCACAACATTGAAATTTCATTAAAAGTATCGTGCCAAGATTTATGTCGGCCGCACTTTAAGTTTTTGCGGCCGGCAGCGACTTCCGCCCGTCGAAATACTCAGACATCAGTGCGGCGGAGGTTGCCCGGAGATATGGCCACTACACATGCCAGGATCCTCGGGCCAGGGGCCCGCTCCTTCATTACTATTGCTTACTATGTAAGCCATAAGCCAACACAAGCCATCGCAACCCATCCGCACCTTTTCCTGGTCCTCCCGCCGCCTTTGTGGCTTTTTTCGCGCGTTTGTTCGATTTTAGTGCAACGCTTCCGCTGCCGGCGGCCATTAACCCGTCGACTTCCCATCCCCCAACCCCTTTTAGCCCCGCGTAAACTGGCAATATCCCACGGACATGCAACTCTGGCCAAGGCGAGGACGAGGGTTAAGGTCTGGAATGTCTATGCAAAGCAGCAGCCTTCGTTAGCGCGGATTTCAAGGCACACGGCAGTTGCACAGATTTAAGACAGCCGTTTCCTCATTTTTAACTAAAAAATTTAAAAATTAAAGGTAAACTACACTAAGGAATTAAACAGCGATTTTGGGTATTGATGGCTGAAAAACTAAGATTCTGTTGATTTTATAAGAAACCAAAAACACATCATTAATTGGAAAACATTTTTATCATATTAAAAGAATTATTAAGTCTTTCTTACCAAAAGTAACTTTCAAAGTATTTATAAACTGTTTATATACTGGAGCTCTTAAGCTGGACTTTAATTCATATTTTTTAATATTACTTCCCATCTTATCTTCTCTTTGGCTTCAAAAATATCTTATAAAAGTCATTATCACTTTAGAAGGTATTCCCATATATTATTAAATATTAAGTAAATGTTTCTTGTCATATTTTCAGAAAATCCCCCCGCACGCACATTGCAGGGATTGTGGCAAGGACTCACCTAATGTCTGGCTGAGGACCGTCTTGCCATCCTCGCCGTGGCAGGCGTTGCGGGCATCGAACGGATTGGTGAACTGCACAAAGGCGTAGCCCTTGTGCATGGAAATGCCTGCGGGGCACACGGATATTGAGATACTTTGTGGGTGAGGAAAGGAGGCGGCTGGGTGACAAGGACTTACCCGCGAGGCGGCCGTAGATCTGAAACATGCGCTCCACGTCCGTTTTGGAGCACTGGAAGGTATTCAGATTGCCCACGAAGATGCGCGAGTTGACCGCCTGCGGATCCTGCGAGTTGGTCTGGTTGGACAGCTTGGACAGCTTCATGGTGGCGGCCGAGGACGAGGACCCTAGTGGCGACGTCACAGGACCTGCCAAGGACACGGGCGCAGCCGCGGCGCACGTGTGTCCAAAGTACAAGAACGCAATTCTGGCGAAAACCCTCCTGTTGTCCTCGTTTTCAATGCTGCGTTTCCCTTTCCTTTTTGTTTTTTGTTTTTGGTTTCTGTGGATTAGACAGGGCTTTTGTCGACGGCTTATTGCATTTGCAGTCGGATTGTTTTCCCCTCGCACTTCCCAGCGGAATTTTCACTTTTTAACGAATCCAAATCTGTGAGCGGCCGCAGATTGTCCGGTTGTTTGGTATTTCGCTGGGAAATCTGAAAAATAAGAGCAAAACGCCACGCACAATAAATAAAAATCACATTCGCCTTTGTCTGCGTTTGTTTGTTTGTCGTCAGGCTTAAAAATCAAATGGATATCAACGGATGGATCGGTTGCTGTCCGCGTATTTGTGTTTCATTTAAATATGGGTATGGCTTTCGGGTTTTGCGTTTTTGTGTTGTTTTTGGGGTTTAAATCTTAAACCAAGGCAATTAAAATGCAAAAGTGCCTTTTTAATTAAAACAAACTTTCTGTGAATTAAAGCTTAAATAATAAAAATATTCGGTTATGCAAGCCTTTCTGTTAAAAAACTCTTTTTATAACTATAAGTAAAGTCAGAATTTCAGAATGTTTGTGTTAAAAACATTTCTTTGATATATATAGCTTATATATATTTCTTTCCTGTTTATGGGTATTTTCCCCTTAATTCTTTCCTCATATTTATGTACATTTGCTTTTACTGGAAACATGTTTTGAGCTTGTTATTAAATTAAATAACTTTCGAATGGCTTACACACACAAGGACTCGCCCAGTTTCGCACCCATTTTCCTCTCCCCGGAAAACGAGGGAAAATGATAAAAATGAGAGGAGGTGCCGAAGCAGCAACAACAAAGAAACTTTTCTGCCGCTCTTGTAAAAGTGAAAAATTAAGCGTTTTTATTGCGCTTTCGATGGCAACAGTGCAGTGCCTCCTTGTCCAACACTCTGCCCCTCTCGCTCCCACTCACCCACACCAATACCAACACCACCACCACTACCACTGCCACCACCGCCATTGTGGCAACATGTGTGTTAAATGTGTGCGTGTGCGGCTCCTTTGCATATGTGGGGGTGTGGGTGTGAAAAGGGCATTAAAATGTACAAAAGACGTGCATGAAATAAAAATAAAACATGCAGCCATAAAAATAAAATACTCGTGTACTAGCAAATTGTTAATGTGATTTTTATGCAATCCCCCGCCCCTCAGAATTTATTGCGGATTTATGGGCGCGCCAGTTGGTGTTAATTGTGAAAGCTTTTGGCGCTTTAACTTGAATCTAATATGGAAAAAGTCAGCCAATGGTAAATCAAATATAAACAAAATCCCATAATAAATGTTAAATGTATTTCCATATAAACCATTATCATTAGTACCTAAAAAAAAGTAAAGTAATAATCAACACATTTTTATGAAACCATATTATAATTTTAGTTTTAAAACAGGATTTTTTTTCTATTTTGCGGAAGTACATTATTTTTCCTGCGGCTGCATAAAGTTAGTAAATACAGTAGAATCCGGTTATAACGACTTTCAAGGGACCGACCATTTTTCGTCGTTATAACCGGAAGACGCACTAAGCAAAAGGAAGAAATAAAAAATTTTTTTTGATTATTTTATGGTTGCTGTGTTTGTAATAGGTTTTTAAAATAAATCAAATTAATTTTTTTATTAAAACGAAAAATTGAATAAATTAAATTCAAAACCATAGGTTTTTCTAAATACTGAAAACTGAATGAGCTTATTATTGCACATATTGCATTTGGCAAATTAAAACATTCAGTTTTCACCGAAAAAAGCAGAAAAAACTAGAAATATAACGGGTCATCTCATGGAATAGGCTACAAGGTCTGCACACGCAGTGTGTAGTCGGCATTGCACTTCGACTCTCTCTCTCTCCCTCTCTCTCTCTCTTGCAGCAGCGTAGTTAAGGCGACAGCTAAAACTAACAGAGAGTTGTGCCAGTGCAAGATCCTTCGTGTCGCTGCTACGCACACAAGCAAGGGTGCCGATCACTGACAAATTCATACATTTCTAACAGCGTGTTTTGATGCTTAAATTTGGAACTACGGCACTGTATTTTTTCCGGCACGACGCAATATCCGGTTAAATTTTTCAATTTTCTTGAAAAATTTCATTCTTATAAGCGGTTTGTCGCTAAAAGCGGAAACGCTCTAAGCGGAGGCCCTTTCATATAACTTTGTATGGGGACCAACCAAACCATCGAGTTTTCGTCGCAAAACCCGGACGGACACTATAAGCGGAGTCGTTATAACAGGATTCTACTGTATTCATTGATCACTATCTACAGCTTTTCCCATCAGTTTTATTAAAAGCGCTTTCGCATTGTTTGGCATAAATCAAACGGAGGAACCAGAAAAGGAGTCGCAAGGAGCTGGGATATATTCATGGCTTTGGCTGCATTGTGCGCCAGTTATGAGTGAAAGGCTCTTTATTTATTATAATGGCATTCCTGCCTGCCAGTCTCCTGTCTGGTTTTCATCCATTCATTCACCCATTCAGGCATTCATTCACTCGTTCAACGGATTCTATTTTTGTGTCGCATTGTCCTTGCAAATGAACGAACAACGCCGATGGCAAATCCACAGAGAACAAAAACTGCAGATGTTTGGAGTTGATAATTTAGGATATCAAACAAATATCTTTCTTGCTTTTTCAAACCATACATTAACATGTAAAAATCCAAAGAAAGAATTTGTTTTAAACTTTGTGAGTCTAAAATTGGTTTCAAATGATTTATTTTGAATACATTTCTCATTGTGCATGGGATAACAGCTTCCTTGAGGTCTGACGTTCATCATTGTGGAAATCCTACAACAATAGCAACAACCACATTCAGTAAAACCCCCCTGTGAAGTCGTATTGAATAAACGCTTGAATATGCAACAGTTTTTGTGGCCTACTTTTCGGGGCTTTCGGCATATTAATGAAAGCAACTTTAATTAAGACGAGAATAGCAGGAGCTGTCTTCTTTAAGATGACTATGTTTAATCCTGCGGACTTCAGAGTGCGGTAGTAGAGCTTCTCGAGGACCAGCAAGTGGTTAGTTAACTCGGCCTAATTGTAATTAACTGCACTACGAAGCAAGTCGACGGCCCAAGTTCAACCGCTAGAAAATGTGCAGGAAATTGCCGTAGTTTTTCCCTCTCTTCCCTTTTCAGAGTCCTGCTGCTTTCATAGGCCCACAGGACAAAGGCAGCCACCGTTTGCACTTTTATTTTCCAGACTCCTGAGCGCAAAAGTAAATTAAGACGCTTCGTGGCAAGTGAGTAAGTAAAAGTCGTCGCCGGCTAAACTCCAGGATTTCCACAGAGGCGCCTCCTCGTTGGCACATGTGAGCTGAACTTTGTAATTGAGTGTGGAAAAGGCACACAAACAGGGTTTTTAGTCCGGAAAAGCCGGAGATTTAATGCTCTTGGAAAGGAGTTGAACAGCAGATACATATTTCAACTAAAAGAACAAATTAAAACTGCAAAAAAGATAAAAGATTAAGCATTTAAGCCAATAAAAGATTTACAAATTGAAATAAGTTCGATTGCATTTTTACTTCCCATTTATGATTATGTCAAACCAAATGTTCGTTTATTTAGCAAATGACCTTCCTAGCTAATTGACCCTCCCCACAAAGTGCCTAATTACTTTTGCTGCATCCGCTCAGGATCGGGATGCCTAATGCCCCGCATTGTCTACGGCTTAAAGTCAACGACTCGGTGGACTACATTTCGCTGCTGCTTTTCCAAGTATTTTACTCTCCTATTTTCCTTGTTTTTTTTTTTTTTTGCAGCAGCAGTTCGTGTTAAAGCGTTTTGATGGGACCTCGACGTGCCATAAATAATGCAGCAAGCCATTAAGCCGGCGAAGTTGTTGAAGAGCCAACGATGCGATGCGGCCAGGATTATCGGAGGCGAGCGATCAAATGTCAAAGGACACATTTCGTCACCACGCCTGTTGCTATTTACTGCCTACCTCGTATCATCTTGTGCTTTTTTCTTCATCTTGTTCGCAACCGTACATATGTTTATATGGCAGACAACTTTTCATTTCAAATTGCCCGGGGGGACGAAGGGGGTGGTGTTGATGGCAACCCTAATAGCGAAGCACAAAAAATGAATAGACGCCGTGGCCCATTGAAAGCCGAAAAGTCAACAAAGGGTGGGCGGACTCACTCCCAGAGATCCGGGGCAGATAGAGCGACAAATAACCCCAATTGAAGGGGGGTGGGGGAAAGGGGGGTTGGCCAAAATGGAGAAGGAATGATGATGATGACGTGTGTGTATTGACAAGCCAGCAAACAACTTTATTCATAAGCAGTCAAACAGGACGAAGGCGGTCCAGGATGTGGCAGACCAAGCCATCCAGAACCCGCAGACGTGACCCCAGTCAAGCCAAACTGAATCGGATCCAGCGAGCTTGGAGTGCATATGCAGACACTGAGAGGAAAGTATGCCCTCATTCACATAAAGTTGTAAAACAATTATCTGAAAAAAAGATTCCATAAAAAACCTTTGCCAACAGAATCCTAATTACATATGAAACATTTGTTTGATTGTTCTAAATTAAATGGTATTCATAGAGTTTTTTTTTTCTAAGTGCATCAGTATGTGCCCAGAGATGACTTCACGTCTGCTGGCGATAACTCAGCGGAGTTTATGGAATTCGGAGCACACCAGACCTTAGTTTGAAATTCATACTTGCTGAAGAGTTTAAATTCGGAAAAAGAAGTCAATATTTTCGATAAACAGTGAACGTGTCACAGGGCGATCATTGTCCCTTTTGTTTGCTGTTAATTTATCGTAATGCACAAAGCAATTTACAGAAGAATAAGTGAAAAAAGAAACAAATATGTAAATGTATTTACAGACGTATTAAGTGCCAACTATTTGCATAAATAACAAGAAATTAATAACAAACACACGGCGCCATGGCAGCAGCCGCACAAAAGTTAATAATTGCTGCATGTCAACAGGCTGTGGAAATGGTCGGAAAATGCTACTGACATGTGGACCACATATAAATGAAAAATATGCCAGGGGGTGGCGGAAAAAAAAAGGAAAAACACAGGGCTTCGAAGCCGGAATACCATTTTATCACTTGACAGTAAATGCGTTTTATTGCGCTGCTCATTAAACAAATTAAATTTGCAACGGATAAAGTGAAACGAGAAAATCGGAAAGTATTTAAACAATTAAATCGCCAAGAAATTTGCACTTTAAAATGACGAGCATCCAACTCTGCGGGTATTCACATGTTGATCATTGCAAAATAAGATTTTAATTGCTGACAGATATTTCCTCTATTTAAATTCCTTAAATAAGTAAAATAAAGTATGAAAGAACAACTGCAACTGACAGTATAAAATTAAAATTGCAGAATGTTAATAATTTCAGACCTACCAAACCGTAAACGTTTTTATTAGTTAACCATGACAACCGCAACACATTGGATTACCATGGATTAGATATTTTTAGAAAAATAGTGCCAACAACAGTTATAAATATCACAATCTGTCTTTCAATCAGAGTAAACGCGTCACGAAAAGAGAAGATTTTTCTCGCACACCAATGAAGCTTTTTGCATTATTGCTGATTTTATCATTTATAATTCTGGCCAAAACAGACGAAAAAGACCAAAAAATAAAACCGAGGATCGCCGGCGGGTTTCGGGCCAAGCCCTATACCATCCTTTACATAGTTGGAATCGTCCTGTCCGAGAGCTGCCATTCCAAGCTGGAGTTCGGAGCCGGCACAATAATTGGATCCCAATGGGTCCTCACAGTGGCCACTCTGTGCAAGTACAAGTACGTTGAGGTCCACATCGGATCGAGGAGAGGCTGGGAGGGCTTTGAGATTTCGAGGGTCTACAAGGAGAACTACTTCATCCACCCCAACAAGAAGCACGATGTGGCACTGCTGAAGTGTCCGCACATGAAGTGGGACAATCGCATGATCAGAATTCGGGTGCCAAACGCCAAAACTTGGTCGGACCGCCACGTGGACAACCTGACAATATCCTGCGGCTGGGGAGCGGAGAAGAGGCATGGACCGCTGCAGAACTGGCTGCGTTGCATGGTGGTCAGGATCATATCCAACGAGGAGTGCGCCAAGGATTATCCACCGCTGGCCTCCTGGCAGATGTGCACCTCCGGCTTGGGTGGCAAGGGAATCTGCGAGGGGGACCTCGGCGGACCCGTCGTGGGAATCACCACAGTGAAGCCCGTCGTCTTGGGGATGATGGACCTCAGTCCCGACGACTGTGCCGTAAATTCAAGTCAGCCATCGATCCACATCCGCGTAAGCGATCACTTAAAGTGGATATACAAAGTTAGCTACATCGAATGGGTGAGTTTTCTTTACAAAAAGAAAATAATGGTTTTTTATATTTGCCTTTTTTCAGTATTAATAATGCTGAACGGAATATATATGCCGAAATACAAAAAACATTATGTGTTCTTTATCAATTGTAAAATACTTAAAACCCAAATAAATTAAAAGATAAGCAAATATATGAAATATTTAAGGTGGTAACTAATTTTACCCTAATTGTTATTTTGGAATGATGATTAAAATTCATTAAAAAATTATTGTAGGTTTGATTTTGTTCAACACAAACTCAACAATAAGAGTTTATTGCAGCCTAAAAGTCTGCTGCACCATTTAAAATTACACCACTCTAACATAACTCGATAATTTGTTTCGTTTGTAACGTTATAATTTAATGCGATTTGGGCGTATTATATATAGCCGCTACTGGCACGACCGTTAAAGTGTTAAATTTATTGTTATTGTGGCCTTTGCTCGCAGTTGCAGTTGCAGTTTCACTATTTGTTTTATTCGCCTCTTTTGGGTTCGGGCTGCGGTTCTTTAGCGCGCATTCATTCATTATCGCCAGTCCCTACAAAATACACATATGCACATGTGTATATATACGTAAATATATCTGGTGTGCGGTCCGTCTGGTGTGGCAATAAAAATGGCTTGAATATTTTTCAGTTTGTTATGCATTCTCCTGCCACTTGGCCAGCAACAACAATTATGAATAACTCGCTGCATAATGGCCAGCAAGCTGTTCTGTTCCTATGGAATTCCTGGATCGATTACTGGGATGTGGGCGTGCTGGGCGTGTATGCATTTATACATACATATATATCACTCCGCCAATTACGTGGAAAAGGGAACTGATCGGGGAACTGCCAGTCGCGACGACAGTAATCAAATAATTGTTGCACTCGCTGTCATACGTATCGCTCGTTGGCTTTAATTATTTGCACAGTTTTCGACTCGGTAATGGACACTTTGTAATAAGGATATGCGGATAAGGGCCTGAATATGCCAACGATTACCCGATAAAAGCAAAAGCGGATTATTGTGGAAATGCGACTGAAGGCCTTTAAACTCTAACGAATACTTTCGTAAATTATATTGTTCGTACACAGATTCCAAACTCAGTAGCCCGAAAATCTATTCCGAGATGTCTTAGTATATAAAACCCTTCAATAGCCTTACTAGGTTTGTAATGTGAACACGCATAGAGAGTATATATTTAATATATATTTTTTTTTACAAAATTTTATTAAGTTCATAATTGAAAATAACTAGTACGAATTGTTTGGCCTTTGATATATCAAAATTGTATTCTATTCCTGGCTTTACCATGGCTAAAACTACGACCGCTGCCTCCAAGTGGCCAGTGTTCATCAGCCACAGCGCTCAGTACAACTTTCTGCGGGAATATTTCCTGGGATGCGGAGATATTTCTCCAATGACCTTAATTGAGGAGGCGGCAAGCGCTTGGCAGCATCTCAGTCCGCAGGACAGGGCCTTGTTTGAAGAGGAGGCCTATCTGCCCGCCAGATTTGGCCAATTAAGCGACTGGGCGATCAGGCAGAGCATTGATGTCCTGTCAGCAGAGCAAACCACTGTGCGCCACATTCCCTCAAAGTCATCTAAAAAATCCCGGAGTGGTAATGCCAAATCGCGTAGAAAGAAGAAGCAGCAGAAGAGGAGTGCAGCCAGCAAGAAGCGATGTCCAGTGTTCAGGAATTAAAGGTGAAGGGCAAGCACCTTTAACTCGAAAACTGTGGGAAAACTTGACTGTTAAGATTACGTTAATACTGCTATGATGATAGTCCGGAATGGAAAATATAAGTACACTTGAAAGTCAAAAAAAAAATTTTTTTTTGGGTTTCGGAAGTATGACTATTGAATAAGAATAATCAAAAATATCAGTTGGGGCTATCGCATTTCAACTCAATTACACTCGGTTGACCCAATCGAAAACAACAGATAGTTAAAGCACTAATCTATATATTTAGCTGTAACTTCATAATATGAAAAATTACTTCTCACATTACAACCATTTAAATAATACCCTAGCTTTTTGGAGCGCGTCATCCACTGAAATCCTTGTACGTACAACCCACTTGATATCGAATGATTCACCCACGCACAAACAGAAACGGAAACATTTATTCCACTTGAAAGGACTTCATAGGTAATTTAATTGTTGCCGATTTTTTTTACAATAAATTCCATTAAACAACTTTTTGAAAAGTATATTATTGAAAATCATATTTATGTTCGTTATTCGGATTGCTGAAGAGCAAATTTTGTGGCGCCTATTTAATTATCCAATTACAGCAGACACATCAGCAGTGCGAGAAATTAACTTAAATGCGAAAATATACGCCGGCGGCTCTTTAAACATTTTCAAGCGAAAATCCGCCGAAAAATGGGAGGGAAAAGGGGAAAATCGTGGGGGCGGAATAGGCGGAAGCCAAAACACCAATACGAAATTTTTTGGCTATCGCTTTTGGTTGAATGCGGATGCGGCGGATTCGGTTTGGGTCCTGTTTTCGGTTTTCGGTTTTTACTGTCGATATTTTGCACTGTTTGCCGTTGTTATTTGTTTGTTGTTCCTTCGGTTTTGCTTTTTGCCAACACACGCATTTTTGTGGTCCATTAAAACAGTCAACGGCAGCAAATTTCGTTTAAACTCGCTGGTTAGAGTTTGAAAATTGATTTATTTATTGAGTTAAAGATACTAGTAAACAGCAAATAGACCAGGGGGACTAACTAATGACATAAAGGTTACCTGATATAATTTAAACATGAAAATACGCATAATTTTGAATTATAAAAATCTAAAAAAAGGTAAAGGCTAATATTCCACCAGAAGTTAAGAAAATCGTTTAAAAATATTTTGACTGGTACAGTTAATTGATTTAATTACTTTTAAATGAAATAATATTAAAATATTGATTGAATATTATTTTTTGGTTGTATTAGAAATGTACCTAGATACATCTGCGAAAACAAGCAGGTACCTAAGTTTGTTTTTCCCATCTCTGATGGTGACGTCGCGTGGAAATTGGCTCAAAACAACAAGAGAAGGCAGGGAAATTCGTGGAAAATCGGCGAACAAATATAGAAAACTCTACGAAAAAGACCAAAGCAAGGTCAAGTGAAGAGAGCTCTCCCTCCCCCTCCTTCTCATTCTCTCTTATCCACCTCTCTCCCTCGCTCTTTATGGGTTGCCACGACTAACGTCACCGACAAGAATGACTCACTCATCAGGAACCGTAACTAATTTATTGAGAGGCCACTGTATCCACTCTCTCTCTCTTTCTATCCCTCTCTTTATGTGGGAGAGCGTGTGCGCAAAGTACTTGTTCGAAGCGACTGGCGCATGCGAGCGAGCGGGACAGTCATATTCCGAGGTGGCCCTCAAAACAAGTTGAGAGCAAACTACAGTAAAAACAAGTACAACAACAACCAGTTGGACTGCCACCAGAGGCAGCAATTTTCTTCAATCGCCGCGAAGATTTCACAGCGTTTGGGCGTGTTTTTTCCGTATCTGCCTCAGCAAAATCACATATGCGGGCTCAATTAATTCATAAAAGTACACCCAACATTCAAGAACAGGAAGAACGCCGTCACAGTGCTGCATTTAATCAAAAATATTGATTGGAAAACTCTCGCGTATAATTAAACTCCACTTCCAATTCGCATCTCTCTCTTTGTACGTGTGTGGGTGTAGGCCGCATTTGTATTAGTGCGTGAGCAAATTATTGTATAATCGCCAAAAAAAAAATAATAATAGCAAAAACGCCAACGCCAGAGCAAAAAGCCAATGAGAACAACCTGCTAAGCTACGGAATAAGCAAAAAAAAATTAATAAACTGCTCAGGTGAACTTTACAATTACAACTACATTCAAAGCAGTAATTTTTTAAAATAACTACAATATCATATTGATATAAAATAAAATAAAATAAATACATCTAAAAACTCGCTGACCTACTGAATTTGATAGATACCACAAAGTCATTATAATAAAACACCTGCATAAAAACCATTCAACAAAACCAGTTGAGCTACTTACAATAAAACCAGCTGATCTACCGAATAGAGCCCTCTGCACCAATAAACTTAATTGAGCTCCTGAATTCATCGATTACCTAGACATCATGCAGGCGATCAAGTGTGTGGTTGTGGGTGACGGAGCGGTGGGTAAAACCTGCCTGCTGATCAGCTATACGACCAACGCCTTCCCTGGAGAATATATACCCACCGTGTTCGACAACTACTCCGCGAATGTGATGGTGGATGCCAAGCCCATCAATCTGGGACTCTGGGATACAGCGGGTCAGGAGGACTACGATCGCTTGAGGCCCTTGTCCTATCCCCAGACAGATGTCTTCCTCATCTGTTTCTCACTGGTAAATCCCGCATCCTTCGAGAACGTGAGGGCCAAATGGTTCCCCGAGGTGCGTCATCACTGCCCCAGTGTTCCGATCATCTTGGTGGGCACCAAGTTGGATCTTCGCGACGATAAGCAGACGATCGAGAAGCTGAAGGAGAAGAAGCTGACACCGATTACCTATCCCCAAGGACTGGCGATGGCCAAGGAAATAGCTGCCGTGAAGTATCTGGAGTGCTCGGCCCTGACCCAAAAGGGTTTGAAGACCGTCTTCGATGAGGCCATTCGATCGGTTCTATGTCCAGTGGTTCGGGGTCCCAAGCGACACAAGTGCGCCCTGCTCTAAACTTTGAACCCACCAAAAAAAAAACAAATGGAAGAGAAATTTTCCAAAAACTGGAGAACAAAGCGCAAAATTCTGTGCAAAATGTTCATATTCATTCGCTTTGTTGGGATTACAGTTACAGATAGTGTGTGAGTGTATCTGAGTGTGCGAGTTTAGGGTGTGAGTGTGACGGCATGAGTGTGTGATATTTTTGTTTTTATTGTCAGTTTTATGTGGGGGAGCAGCAGCCAGAAATGCGGATGGGGGTCTCTGGGGGGCAGATCACGCATAGGAAGATATATACACATAAGCATATAAGTATGATATTGTGCATACACGGGAAAAATTTATGTGGAAGAACTTTTTTAACTAATCCACATTGCCTTTTATGGCGTTTAAAATGTTTAGTCATTTGAAATTGTTTTTTCAACTAATCATGAATAAAATATTTAACATTTTGAGTGATTAATATTTCATAAATTGGGAAATTTCGACTACATTTTATCGCGTTTTTTATTAAATTTTGACGAATAAACAATTAAAAGCATGTACTTTAAGTCCATATTAGGCTAGAAAACAAGTGCTTTACTAAATGTCCTAAACATACCCAAGAAATATTTTTTTGCCGTGCTTGCGAATTAGTTGCGTTTGCTTGCAAAAGAAACTCGGCCAGCGAAATGTATGACAAATCAAATAAAATTAATTGTATATAAATCTAGACGATTTAAAGCTCTCAGCGCCCCAAACACAGTCACTATAACCAGAAACAGAACCAGAACCAGATAGCTCTTATCTGGCAGGGGCAGCACAACCCAGGCAAGGCCCCGCCTTTGGCCAATATCTGAACAATCGAACGGGGGATCGGGAAATCGGGGAATACGGCAAGCCGACATAAAAAAGCCTTCACTTATATAGTAGTTAGTGTTACGTGTGAATGTGCGTCTGATCAATAGTCTTCCCACTCGATGCATTTGCCTGCACTTGATTTAATGTATACTAAATGCACAATTAGCCTCTACTTTGATGTTAATTTATATACTGATATTTATGTTAAATAAATGCATACACTTTGCCAAATTGTTTTCACGAAAGAGAGTTAAATATAAAACCAATTTATTTATATTAACACATATTTACCAATAAAGAGTGTAATAATAATCAATAATAAACGTTTGTGAAAAGCTAAGCAAGCCGATGTCAAGTGAATTATGTTTGGGCCATAGTGCATTGGAGATTTATGTGGCCAATGCACAGTGGTCGGGCTTGTATGGAACCGCGGCCATAAATACTTCTAGTTGTGCTATCGCTATGAAACTTTCACAAAAAATCTATAAAAATATTATAAATACAATATACAAAAATTGACCGGATCGTACCACTATATCCTATAGCTTCCATAGGAACGATTGGATCAGTGCAGTCCTAAAATCACTTTTTATGGTCAGATCAGGCAAATATTTTTTATATATATTTATTTTACTTCACTCTTGTCAACAATATAGCCGTTTTTTATAATATTCGCTTCTATACCTTCAATCAATTTTGTTCGCCTTTCGACGGCGCTACCCACTTCCCTGCACCATACATTAAAAACATATAATCGTGAGAATACACACTTATAAGAAAAACCTATTCAATTTTTAAGCAAGGGAATAAACAAAAAGAAAAAAGAAATAAAAGAAAAAATAAATCAATAAATGAAAAACGGTTAATAAACACAAACTCAAAAGACGAAGACAGAGCAAGACGAAGAACAGCACAACAACCACACGAGCGAAAACAAATTTTTGTAGTGCAAAACTGACCCTGAAAACGTAAAGACGGTGTTAGAATTTTTACGATTTTAGGCACATCTGCAAATTTCTGCAAAAAAAAATTACTCATTTATTACCTTAAAAGCCAGTCAAACACATTGGTATACAACTTAATTGTGGATTTTTGTGGCATCACTACTAAAACTTTAGCTAAACATAAAAAAGACGTTCAAAATATAGACAAAAAACATGTATTATTTCAAATTTATATAACAAGAACAGTTTAGCAAGCACGTTTTTTTATAATATCTCAAATTTTAGAAAATACCTTCAACTTCAAAATCCATTAAAAATGTTTTAAATTTGGACACGTAATAAATGAACTGACCTCTTCAAAGTTCGGTTTTGCTATGAAATGTTCGCGATGCGCGCAAGCTGCGCTGTGCAAATGAACACCTTCTTACAACTTTAATTCTATTTTTAAAAAGAACCGTTAGTTTTACAGAAAAATAAAGTTTGCCATCAAGAAGTTTGGACAATTTAGAAACGATTTGTTTACTTTTCGTACATTTTTGTTGTTATGACTTTTTTTATTTTTGGCCTATGGGCGCAACCACTGTGCAATGGAAATAATGTGGATGCTGAAAGGTTGGCATAATGGGATGAGATTTAACCCTTGAACTGGTGCATACTTTTTGGCGACTGCGGCAAATTCAACACGCATCGCAACTTTAATCTTATCTGCCGCCGCATTTGTCACAATTTTAGATAATTATTTCCGATTGCCGGACCCGGCCGGAAGTTGGGATTTCGGCCCCAGTTGACTAAGCAATTTGCCAGGCCCAATCGCATATACAATGCGCTACATCATATTTTTATATCTTTATGCTTCGTTTTCGGCCAATTCTATCTACACTTCGATTGTCATAATGAGCCAGCTGTTGATTGATTGCCAGTGGAAAATGATTGGGTTGGGTGTTTGGGTGGTTGATGTGGGTGGTTGGGTGGCTTTGAGCTTTCCGTGTGCCAGTGGCTCGTTAGTGGATGGCCCCACACTGTCGGTCGCAGTGTGAATTTGACAAATAATTACATAAGACAACCTGCTGTGCGAATTGTGCCCACAAACCAACTGCCCATCCTCCCGCACACTTCAATGGCCTCTGATGGATATTCTATCCCCCACCCGTCGAGGTTTTGTCTGTGACGCGACGAATCGCATAATTGACCCACATTTTGAACAAACGCTTTGGCCAGCAATCAAAACAGAGAACAGAAAACCGAAAACCGAAAAGCCAGAGAGGCCCATGAAGTCAATTTAATTAGCAGAAACATTTGGCTAGCGTCTAGAACTGCACCTCTAGAACTTGCACTTTTGGCGCTAGAATGCGTCGAAGAAGAAGCCGCTGAGTGAGGAAGCGTTGACAGGCGTGGAATTTGTGGTATGTTCGGATACAATTGCCCTACTACATTGTGTTGGGCGGACTTTGAATTGGAATCATAAAGTTGGGAAATAATTGGGGTGTAATTCCATCATTTGATCTAAAATAATGATTCTTTGTTTGGTAAATCTAGCGCAGTGTTTGTGACTCACGGTTTGTATTTACCTGTGCTGAATTATTGAAAACGTTTCGCATTGGAATTTACTTTGATGGCTATTACGTCTCTGGAAATGCTTAAAAAAATCTATCGTACAAGAATAATTAATTTCCACAGAACATCAAAACTTTAAAAATTCCAAAGAAATATTCGATTTTTCCAAACGCAAAATACATTTTTTTACCAATAAACAAAAGTAATCGAAACATCTCATGAGTAAAACGCATATAATGAAGTCATACTGAATGGCTCATGAATCCCCTTTAATTTCGAATCCCCAACCACTGCTAGAGTTTTCGAATGTGTGCAGGATTATTCCCTGATTATCCTCTCACCGGATCGAAGGGGAAAACAGCAAAATGGCCAAAACCGAGAAGAGGACAACTGCTGTGCGATGCAAATCCATTGACAAGTGTCGCATAATCACGCCCCATGCCAAATGTAAATGCAAATGGGGAAAATGCTAAATTTATGCACTGCATGCGTGAAATTAAAAGGTTCCCCGGCGGACTTACAGAACTTTTTGGGCCTGATTTCGGATTTCGAACCAGGTCCTCCTCCAATGGAGGCCAGAGCAATTTGCCCATGCGGTTAACAATTTGGCTAAATCAATTATACGCACGGCGAACAACGCGAATTCGAGTATTTTTTGTTTCGTAGGGATTTTCAGCTTAATTGAGAGATTTCCAGGGAATCAGCGGACGGACGGGAAAGCCGAAAAATTTAATACGAAAATTGCTGAAAGAATTCCTAGCTGGCCACAAATTTCGTACAAAATGCCAATAAAATACGCTCGAGCGCAAAAATTCCGTGCCACATAAGAAAAAGGTAAATTCAGGTGGGGTTCTTGGTGGGGCGAGTTAAAATATTTTACACTTCCGGAGAGGCAAAGAAAGATGTCGAGGGGGAGATGCTCCACCTGAACCTCGGATGCCAACAGGATATGACAAGCTCGGCCACCTTTCAGACACCTTTTCACCCGGCCCAGCCTCCCCTCCATTTTCTCAGCACATTTTCAGCAGCCACTTCCTGCCAGAAAACACATTGCAAATTATGATGCGAAAACGAGTCGCGAGCGGAGGATGGGCGGATGTGTTGAGTATTCCAAACTGCCGACTAAAAAAATTTCATTTGTGCGTTGATGTTGATATTTGTTTTGGCTATCCCTGGGAAAACATAAAGCAGGTCGGCGGGAAATATAGAACAACCCGATTTAAGTCAATTGGATAATATAAAAAGCACGCCTTGTGGAGAGAAAAATAAACTAACAAAAAACTAACTTCTAAAGTAAATAAATAATAAAATCAAATTAGAGAAACTATAGAACATTTTTAGGAATTTTCTAAGATATTTAAAATCTGCCTTTTTATGAAAAAGTTAATTCCGCATTAAGCCGTTGAACATTTAAATGGAACAATGCGCGGAACTTGCTGCGAACAAACAAAAGCTTGGGGACACAATTGATATGGATGGCCAACAGGCAGGACAGGGATTTCGATGGACATTGGCGAAAGCAGCGACGCCAGCTTGTGGCGTAGCCAATATCCGCTGCAAGGATAACGCACTCACACACGCAGCCGTGTGTGTATCTTCCTTGGACTTGTTATTGATAATCTTTGTCATGACTCGACGTGAGCATCGACAGCGGCTAACAAAAAAAAAGAGTAAAAAATGAAGCAGACTACATAAATTTAATATTTTCAAAAAGAGTTTTGAGAAAGACAAAAATGAGGAATTTTATTATTAAAAAAAAATATAAACAAATTTATTATAATTGTTGGCTGAAGCCAGTTTTATTTGTTTATTTGAATTGTTAAAATAAGTCTGATTGAATTGAATTTGAAGTTTACTGTAAGTTAGTTTAGGGCGAAGGCGGGAGCGCAATAAAGCTTTCGTTCGCTCTCTGCGAGTTCGCTCCGTCTTCGCCAACCTTCGGTAAGCTAGGCTTAAGAATAATGTGGAGAATAGATCATTGGTTGAAATTGAGTCTGATCGAGCGCACGCACTTCTTTTTCGTTTTCGTCGTTTTGCCAAAATAAATTTATTAATTAGCCACCCAACGTTTTCGGGATTAAATATTTAGAAAAACTATTCTAAATTTTCATGGCGCCCCGGGTGGACTAATTAATTAAATAAAAGGCAACAAATTTTTTAAAAGTGACAGTGACACAAATAACATAAAAGTGCAAGTGATTTGTTCTTGTGTTTTTTGATACAGAAAGTTGCACAGAAATCCAAACTGCGTGTGAAAAACAAAGTTGCCCGCGACGTGTGTTTTTAAAGAAAATATTAAGCTCCAGATATAAATTTAATCGTGCCGGTCGCGAAATTAAATACCTAATTCGACGTTTCTGCCACCGACGAGGGATGCCCTGCGATTGTTCGAGTTGCAAAAGGAAAGTGGCAGCTGGATTGAAAGATCCAAACGAAGAACCAAAGGTATTTGTGCAAAAAATTGAAAGCTGAGTTTGACAAAAAACTAGAAATATTCGTTAATTGTCTAGTGCTGAAAAATTGCACCTCGCTTTCAATTCTTGGCACATATGTACAAAATAGTAGAGCTAGATTGCATGCAAAATAAAATTTAAACAATTTTAATAATTTCAAAGAGTAGCAAATATTACAGCCATTATATATATATATAAATACCTAATATATTTTCAAGTGCTAAATTGATATATACTATTTGAACCAATTTGGATGCAACTTTTGTTAAATTGTGTTAAATTATTGCAATCACTGTCGCCCCCCTTGTTTTTAATTATCGTTAAAACCTCGCAAGTTAATAGTTGGGAAGTTAATCTGAGCCGTTATACACAAATAAATAAGCCCTTAT